GGAAAAGAAAATATTAATTTTGAAGAAAGTGGTATAGTTAGATGTTAGTGGAATTTTGAGTTTATAATAAAAACGATACTTAAAATAAAATAATTAAAATTGATTTGATATAAAAGTAGGAGAGAGATGGTGTGAAGTGATGATTAGTTAAAATTATGTGAGCGAATGAATAGTGAATTAAAGTTGATTGATGTGTAACGGTGTGCTCGTATACAAATATACAAATATATCCGCTCAAAACGAGTTTTTTTTTTAATTAACGAGAGTTAATTTTATAAAAGTTGGTATGGTTAGTTGTTAGTTGGATTTTGAGTTTATATTAAAATAATATTTAAAATAAGATAATTAAAGTTAATTTGATGTAAAAGTAGGAGAGAGATAATGGTTAGTTAAAATTATGTGAGTGGATGAATAGTGAATTAAAGTTGATTTGATGTGTATGAATGATTAAATGATATTATTTAATTATATTGAACATACTGAGGATAGTGAGTTTGGGTTAAAGTTTAGTTAAATTCTGAGTATGGATTGAGTTATTTTATAAACAAACACACCCTAAATGTTTTCATAATCAAATGAGTGTTGTTCAATTTGTAAGATGCGGAAAGTATCGATGGGGTTTTGTAATGTCGAACAATGTTTACTTGAAGTTAGGGTGGAAAAAAAAAAGGCGAAAAGAAAAGCGAATAGAAACGTGTGGTACCTTGCCGGTTTGTGAATCAACTAACATCCCATCAGGATTATCCCCGACAATTGCAATGACTTTGCCGTCTGGACTAAGAGAAGTATGCTGCGAAAAAAATCACATGGAGTTATTATACAAAAACAAGCATAGAATAGGCCATTAAAGACTGGACTCTTTTAACTCTTATCTCAAACATTGGCAGTGGAAAGAGTAAGAGCAGGAAGTATATCAACACTCGCATATATGGTGTGTACGACTTTGGTCTCATCCTTCCTAAGGCAACTCCATTTTCGATCGTGCAAACTTAAAACACACAGCAAATGATAATAAAAACACACATTCTTGATTTTCTGTTTGTTCATCACCTTCCACAAGGTAACAAGCAATTTTCGTTAATTCTTAGGATGTGCGTGCAAAATATTTACAAGTTAAATGAAGGAACTTACATTTACAGGCCATGGGTAAGAGAAATGTTTGACAAGCTGGAATTTCCCCAGGTCAAAATCCCGTACTCCACAATCGTTATTCGAAGCTGTGAAATGAACAGAACCACTGATAGTGGTCCAAAACCAGAAATGTTTACATATGGATTTATATAACAGGAAATAAATATGTCACTTCATGTATTAGCAAAAATTTGTTCATTTACCACTATATGATAATGATTTTTTTTTTATTTGGTATAACATGCATTGCAGTTTTATAAATATGAGAACACGAAGATACTACAGTTTGATAGGAAAAAGAACACAAAATTAGTGAGGTAAACAGTGATCACAGAGGGACAGGAGTAAACAAAAGTGAGTGATTCAATGAATTGGCAGAAACAAAGAATGAAAATATGTGACAATTGCGCTTAAAAGTGTACAACTGCATAAAAGTACAGGCTACTTAAATTATATTAAGTTACAATCATGAACATGCAATTGCTCATAAACCCACTTGAAGATAGAACCCAGATGAATGGTGTGAAATTAATGCTGCAGCAGTTCAACATTTGATTTCAGAGAGAAATTTGAAGAAATAAATTTAGAATTGGTATTAAGATAGAAAAAGTTTCACCTTGGACCATTATATATATCGATCGCGTTTGTGATAGCATTATCATCATAAGTTGTCCTCGTACAAAAGCTAACACCAGGTCGATCAAGATCCTGCAACAAATGAGAAATACTTCATCCAGGTCTATTAGTTGAATTTGATCAAGTTCATCTCAGTAGAGTATTGGTTAACTGGCACATATATATTTCGTAATATATGACTGGAACAGAACAAAAGGAACGAAACAATATAGCTGCAAACACGGAATTCTAATCACATATTGTACAAATCCATTAATCTCTTGCCCACAACTAGACTTGGCAACGAACAAATTCATGCAAAATGTCCTCAAGCAATAAATTGTGATGGGAAGTATCATCATTCATCAGTTCGGCTTTCATCAAGAGAGAGGATTACCTTGCAAATTAGCTCCCCTTGATATCCTCCAGCAATCAACAGATTATCACGTACTGACAAAGTACTCACTTGTGTCTGAGTAAATCCTTCCAGTAAACTTCCCGGGTGTTTCTGTAAAAGAGATAGGCCGTCAGACCAGGTAACATAAATCACCCAAAGGAAATATGAAAACATACATTTACTTGAATGACTCAAAATATGATCTTGTAAGAGAATGCACCTCACTGGGAGCCACATGACCGGAGACATTAAGAACTTCAGTCTTCCTGGAATTCAACGAGCACCAATGAATAATGGAATAATGAGACACGAGGTAAACATCGTGCTTTGAGGTCGACCAGACCAAATTCCTCAACTGCAATGAGGGAAATCAGTTTGAATGGAATTAACATGTATAACACTATTTATAATAAAAAATAAACAAGCCATTCTAAAGAAATCTAGTGGAGCACATGTCCTACCTGAAAATGAAGAATGGTTGATTTTACAGACCTTGTGTTCTGCCAGAACTCGTAATACACACCTCCTTTCCTCGTTAACTTGCAGTCCTAACAAATCCAAATATCACAAAGAAAATCAGATAAGCATCAAATTGCAGTGTCATAAAACCGTTCTGCTACTATTTGGAACTCAAACGATACCTTCTCTGATCCCTCTCCAGATTGAGGAATATTCTCATAATTCTTGTACTGTTCTATTCTAGTCTGCCTATACTTCTCCCTGGATATGCTTAACCTCTCCCATGGAATTCCTTGAATGTCCTTCCCTTTCCGCGCATCAGCAGCAGAGGTATCTGTAATCTTAGTGCCCTAAATCCACATTTCGGTTAATTCACATCACCAGAAAGAAAGAAAAGCAAACAAAGAAAACATCAAAGAAAAATGGTGGATTTCAAAATTAACAATTATATCAATCAGAGACTATGTGAAGTGCATATTGAACTAACCAATTGGCCATTTCCATCCTCGACTTCCTCATCAGAGTCGGACTCTGCCATCAGCTCATTACCACCAAAATACATGTCCTCCTCAGCTTCACCCATCTCAAAGTCATCACCAGCATAATCCATAACTCCTCTATATAGTATTTCCTAATATTTACTTTTCACTCTCTTTTTTTATGCTCGGAAGCAGTCTCTAAATCAAATGCATGTACAGCCGCCTATCATGAGAAAAGAAAAAAGCATTGAATTTTCTGCGTAATAGACTAAATTGNATCGTTAAACAATTATTCATAGAATTCCACGCAACTACTCGGCTCTCACTACGCCAATCCTAATCAGAAAACACTAAATATAAAACCCAAAAAAAAACAATAAAGAAATCAACAGCGGACCACCGGACCCAAAATTGAGCTGCAAAAACGAACCATTAAAAAAAAAAACAAAAACTCTAATTCTCACCTTCAATTCCTTGTACTCAACATAATTTTGAACCCAGAAATCAACTGTAGAACAAAAATAGGAACGCGAAATCGGAAGTCCGATGGAGGTGAATAGGGCGAGATCTCCGTCGTCAAAATCAGCGAGAAAAAGTAAAGGGCTAAATTATGGAAGGATATATGTAAAATTGATTATAGATTGATGATTTATATATGTAACTAATATAAAAAAAATGTATTATTATTGAGGAATTAAAAATTAAGAAAAAATTAATAGTGAATATGATGAGTGGTAGAGTAATAATGAAAAAATATGTACAAAAAATTTAAAACGTTGTTTATTTTATTAATGATTGATAAAGCTAAAATCTATTACTATATAATACGGAGAAGAAAAAATATTTGAACAATCCGAAAATAATCATTTTGTTTTCCCGCTTCAATATAGTGTTTTTCCCGCTTCTTCAATTCGTAAATTTTTTTTTGAATTTTTTCAGCCCATGCAATTAGGTAACCAATCAAATCGAATCTTTTAACATTCAATTTGGTAAGGTGTTCCAATTTTAGCATTCAAATCCGATTTCACTTCCTTTTTTTATGCCAATCAATCCGATTTTTTTGGTTGTTTCAAAATTTGATTAGATTTATATTTTTATTTTATTAATATATTTGAAAGAGAATCAATAAATGTTTATCATAACTTTTATTTTAAAAATAAATTTTATCTCTTTAATAAATATTTATTATTTATTTTTTTCCTTACGTGATATAATGTAAATTTGGTTACTAGATTTTAAATTCAAACATTTAGGAAAAAATCACGAACAAATTTTTTGGTTAAATTTCATTTTATTTTAACTTCCATATAATCACAATCCTAACAAACTAATTAGTATAATGTTTTTTTACCCATTTTTATATAATCGGATTTCTTAAAATATAATTAATATAACATTTTAACTATTTAATCATTTGTATAACTTGATTTAACTCATTATCAAACTTGCCAATTTTTTTTTGAAATTAAAAAAAATTTGGAAGATTTTTATTTGTAAAATAATAAAAAATAGCTTTACTTTAAAGTCTGGATTATTTTCATTATTTTTTGTACGTTAACAATCATATATTTTGGATTATTGATTTAAAAAAACAAATTAAAACCGTAAGGTTTAATAATATTCCTTAAATAAAAAATATTGTATAAAGAAAAGTATTTAATATTATATATTTTTCATTGATTGTATTTATTTTATTTTCATAATAGACGAGATGTGAAAAATATAAATAATTATATTTAAAATAAAGTCTAAAAAATGTTTAAAATATGAACTCTTCCGTACATCGCACGGGATATACACTAGTAATATTTAAAAAAAATAGGAGGTAGTACGAATTCGTAAATTATGAGGTGTTTTATTACAATATCTATATATTATTTTAAAATTTAAGCACTGCAGTGTAATTTTACTTTTTTTTTTCTTTTTCAAATTTTTACCCAAAATGAAAGATATTAAGACAATCAATAGAATCTTAAAAATTTATACCAACAAATATGACCAAAGATTAACATAATTAATCAACATAATCTCAGAATAAACTATAGTTATCCAAATTAGCAATATGATCTAAAATAAATTATGGGTTAGACTAGCCACAACACATGAATAAAATTCATGTTGTTTTTAACGTAATAGTTTGATATAAAAGTTGACATAAAAGGAAAGAAAAAAAAAAACAAAAGTTTGACATAAAAGTGTGGGTTATTTATTTTAAAATTGATATTACATGTAAAATCACGTAATCAAATCATGTGTTATGTCAAAATTTATATCATTCATTATATTTGTGTAGCGTGATCCCTAATTATATATATGTAATTATGTATACAATTAAATTATCTATCAAAAAAGTTATATTATTAGTGCTTTGTAATCTGCTTTTCTCTATGGTATCAACATAATTTTTAAATTAAAAATTAATATATATCTTTTCATAAAATGAATTAAAATTAATTATTAAAAACATCACGTTATAATAAAAAAATTAAATAAATTTTCTAATACATTTTTTCATCCAATAAAATAAATCACTCAAAATGAAGATATATCATCTATCCAACCTAACAAACTACGAAAAACGAAGTCCGAGGCCAAAATCCACCACTTTCCGATCGAAAAATCAGCTAATTGGCCGCCATGAGCGCCACCGCGTTGATTCCAACCACCAACGCCGCCGCATCACGAATTCCCTCATTCTCCACCGCTCGAACCCGAAGAAAATCTTCGGTTTCCGTCATGAATTCATTAGTAACCGAGGCGGCGGCGGACCAGGCGGCGGCGGAGTCGGAAACCCCCCCCCGCCGCCTCATTTTGCTACGCCACGCCAAGAGATCCTGGAAAAACCGTTCCCTCAAAGGTACTCATATTTTTTCACTTTACGCTTTTAGGTCGGGAGCGTTTGTGATGGGCAATTTACGGTTAACTGCTGATGTTTGAAGAAGTAGACGGATTATGAGCTGCGATTCCCCCATTGGGATTTTGAAAACATTATTGTAGAGTCAACTGTGTATATCTTGCATTTACAGTGAGATGATTGCATAAAGATTTGATTTTTCTTCTCTTATCGAGACTAGATCACGATCTGCCTCTGAGTAAATCCGGACGAGCTGATGCTGTGAAGCTCTCGAAGAAACTCGACAAGTTGGGTTGGGTTCCTGAGCTCATATTATCCAGGTGGGAGTAACCTCTCAAATTTAGTGCAGTTAAGTTAGTTAAAA